GGAGTTAGGTCAGTATAACTGCATCACTCAAGAGCGTGGATCTTTCACACCCCTGAGTGAGAAGTTATACCAATATAAGTTGCTAATATAAACCAAGCCTAAGTAGGCTTATAAGGATTAGATTTTTATTAGTAAATGTTGATTTCACTGTACACAAACTGATGACATATATTTCAGATAGGCAAAAAAAGAAAAGTGCTATTTGAGCACTTATAGTTTGATTTAAGTATATTTGCTTTGTACAGTAGAACCTCAGAGTTACGAACACCAGGGTTACGAACTGACCTGTCAACCACGCACCTCATTTGGAACCGAAAGTATGCAATCAGGCATCAGCAGCAGTGACAAAAAAAATACAGTACAGTACTGTATTAAATGTAAACTACTTAAAAAAGGGAAAGTTTAAAAAAGATTTGACAAGGTAAGAAAACTGTTTCTGTACTTGTTTCATTTAAATTAAGATGCTTAAAAGCAGCATTATTCTTTCGCATAGTAAAGTTTCAAAGCTGTATTAAGTCAATGTTCAGTTGTAAACTTTTGAAAGAACAAGAGTAACATTTTGTTCAGAGTTACAAACAACCTCCATTCCCGAGGTGTTCATAACTCTGAGGTTCTACTGTATATTTTGACATCTGATATTGACATTTTGGGTTTTAACTGTTATAAAGCTTAACTTTTTGAATCTCAGCATCTACTGTCTTTAAATAATTGCCTGAGACCCTCCCCCCCTAATATTTTCCCACAACTGTGAACATTTAAATCAACAGAAATACAGAAAAAAATGTTTAAAACTCCTAATTTTGCACAACTGTGAAATTTTAAACAGGTACATTTTTAAAAATGCTTAAAAATAAACAATGTTACTCATCAAAATTATATAAAAAAAAATAATCAAATTCTACCAAGTCTAAGAATAAACTATTTTGTCAAGGTAGAGGCACATGGGCAAATAAGAATGGGGGAACCTGACTGCAGCAGCCTGAGCTGTACTTACTGCATAAATACTAGAGGACTGCCACTCCAGCACACTTCCACAGCAGCATGATACAGGTAGAGGAAAGGCCCTATAATGTACAGGCTAACAACACAGACTGACAGACACACAGCTCAACTCAGTTCAAAGGCAAAATTGCTGCAGCTCTGACATTCACTTATCAGGAAAATACTAGTACAAAGATATTTTCCTTATTCTCTGCCCAGATATGTTCTTTTCTATATAGTACAAGCCTAGAAAAAGGCATTACTTCAGACCTGTACTACAATGCATGTTATTCCATACATCCATGCAAAAGCCACCTTTTATGACATTCTGGAAGTTTAAAGTACATCCTGCTACATAAAAGCCAGAAATGTAAAACCAAAACACCATCCAGCTATTTTGCTATGCAGCAAAGAAAGGGCTGAAGACTACTGGGTTGGGGTTTTTTTTGTTTTTTTTGGGGGGGGAGGGGAGGAGGATTGGTTTTGCCGTTGTGAAAGATACACATTTACGTTACCGGAATAATGACATTCCACTAATTAGCTTCTGTAATACTCCGGCAGTAACAGAGAATTGCAATGCTTACCCTCCGTACATTAACCTAGGTAACTGGAGTGACAGGCTTTTTATCGGCTAAGCATACAATCTCCAGGGGCTCAAAACTGCTATCAGTATGACTGCTAAGCAGGGCCAATGGAGGCAAAAACAGTGGGGTCACCTCAGGCAGCAGATTATGTGATTTACAGTGCAAGTGGGTGAGAGGTAGACTTTTCATTTGCCCTAGGGACTAAATAGAACAAAACAAAACAAAAAAAGAGTCAAACACAGGTGCCATTATTTAAAAAGACCCTACAAAAAAAGCTGATTTGAACACGCGGGAGGACTGCTTTACAATTGTTTATATGCATATTCTCCTAAAAATCTGGAGTTTAGGAATACTTTACAGTATACTGCAAGTCCTAGAGGACTTATTGAATTACAATACCCAACTTAGTTGCATGCCAATTTAAAAAAAAAAAAAAAGGTTCCATTTAAGTTGCTTTTTATATAGAAAAACTCTCCAAGGTTGGGCTTATAATCATTTTTTAAAGCAGCAAGACGCTAGATCCACCAGTTCCATTACCTCTGCATATTGTAAAGGTTAACCATTTTTCCTGACAAGAAAACATTTGAATTGGACAGTCTTATGCATTTTTGTTCTCTCTTTTTTTACCCCTACCCTCCGACCAAATAATTGAGAATACATTTGGATCTGCAGTTTAGTTTTACGAAGCTCTGATGTGTCATTTGAAGGGCACTTCCACTGAGCAACCGATATTTCTTTTCTTGAAACCGCACTCCTCCTCCACAGCACTAGAAAGTCACATGACTGCTGCAGAAAAGTAGGTGAAAGGTTATGCTGCTGCAGAATGCACTACTGAACAACAAAAGCTCAATTTGTCTTTTACACTCCGGACTACAGATCCTGTTTCACTGCCAGCGGTCTAACAAAATGGGAAGTGCCGCTACTAACAAGAAAGGAGAGTTTTAAGAGCAGACTTTAAATGCATTCCCCTTTTTTTTATTTTTAAAAAAAAGTCAGCAAAAATAAATCTGTCTTTAAATTAAAAGTAGAAAAAAGATACAGCCCAAGATAGAACTAAGAATTTGATACTAAAAAAAGGTATTTTGCCCAAAGTAAAACTGAAAAAGACTTTTTTCTCTAATTGTTTTCAGTGGTAATAGTCTTTATAGTAGGTAAAAAAAATGTTCAGTCTGATTTCCAAGGGTTTTTCTAAATATAATTGTTCATTTAAGGAAAAGGTCCATACATGAAAGCTGTAGCTCCCCAAAATTTTAAGTGTTGGAAAGCTCAGGCCCTAGTAGTTAGCTTTCAAGCTATGCCAAGACTGTTGCAGAGCTTGGAACTTGTAACAGGATTGGAGTCTGCTCCTCTAGGTTTTGAGTCTCTCTCTTCTCCCCAGATTGTCCCATCCCCAAGCTAATGCAGCTGATTCTCTCTCCAACTACAGATGTAAGGCACTAGCATGAAGTTTAACACTTTAATAACAGCTTACAAATGTAACCCTCTGGATCTCTGTTGACATTCTGTATTTATGCTAGTCACATGTTTGTAGTAGTGGTTTTAAGTTGCATTATCTCAATCAATCATTTTCAGTATCCACAGAGTCAGAAACATCAGTCTGAGGACTGATAGCTACGAAACCTCATTGCTGTAAGTACTGACATCAGTTTCTCTCCATTATTATTTACAGGCAAATAAGGTGTATTATAAGCTGATTAAAGTAAATATACTTTTAGATCTGGAAAGACAAGTAATCAGACACTTAGGGAAGAGAATAGTGTAATAAAAGGAGTTTAAAGACATTCTCCATTCTTAGACCTAGCACTTTTAAAGACACCATGATGCAAAGTGTAATCTTTCCTGTTGAAATTTACTCCAAAATCTAGCCTTTCAAATAAACAAAACAAAAAAAAAGTATATTCACTAATCACATAAAGCACAAATCAGCAGCAAGGTAGAAACAGAATTTGAGTTATAAGACTTGAAATCTATTGCACTTGGCTATATCTACACTAGTTTTTATGGAAAATCTCCCCTGGTGCAGCAGATTCACCAGAGGCCATACACCAGTTTCCAGACTGCACTGAAAAGGGTTTTAAGTATCTTGAGTAGAATTTTATGTGAACTTCCCTGATGAAATCAGGAGATGTGCCTCACTTCCAGGTGTTTTCTATAGTCAGATGTTAGCTAAGAATACTGACAAGTATGAGATAGTGTTCAAATATGTTATAGTTCCAGCATAATTAGATTGCTTACTGGATGACAGCTGACCATCCCAAACATAGGAAAGAGTGCCATGGTAGAGCACACGTGGGCAGGAAACATTAATGAAAATTTGGAAAGCAGCTCATGATAGCTGATTGTGAAGGGTTTTTTTTAGGCCAACATCCACTCACACTATCCCACTTTCCTAGAGCTACAAATTACACTGTGGTAAATTCTAACCACGAATTACATATTATTTATTTTTTAACAGCCTTCTCCATCCCACCATTACCCCTCTCCCCATATTTATAGCTTCAATGTTCTAAAACTAAAGTCAAGACAAATACAGTCAACGGATGCAAAAAGTCACATTTTTGTGATGTACCTGCCCTTTCTTGTACCATACAGAGAACTAGAGAGAAGATGCTAGGGAATATCATTTACTTTGTGTATTTGATCACAGATACTGGGTGTTTTGTAGCACAACAAACGAAAGGTTTCTGCAACTTTCTGAGCCTGAATATTTTAACTTTCATGTACAGATATTTCCTTGTAAAATGGCACTGCTGCACAATTACAGTTTTATATTTGGCCTTATTTTAGAATGTTGCGTTTTTAACCAGAGTGATCTCAGTCAGAGAAGGAACACTCGTTCAGATGAGGTGGGGCCGAGCCGTGGGGTGACAGTGAATCAGCTGGATACCGTTTCTATTGAAGGAGCTCTGGGGTGGGTGAGGCAAAATGACGTTTCATTCATTCCTCAGTGCGGGAGCCCGTGCAGTGAGTCTGCAGTCTGAAGCACCCCGCAGGAGCACGGCAGAGTGACTGGGAGACCTGCCTGGGTAGAGGTCGCTTTCAGGATCCCAACAGGCCAGATTCCCCCCAGCAAGGAGAAGGGGGCGGGGAGGAAACCTCGTTGCTGACAACAGGGAAAAGCTGCACATGCCGCTCTGGAAGTCAGTCCAGCTGAGGGCAACGTACCCGGCACCCCACCGCTACGAGAGGACCCTGCAGTGCTCACCCACCCCCAGCTCCGCCTGGGGATCCCCCAACCCATCGCCCTGCCCCACCACGCCCAACCTAAACCCTTCGCTAATGGGGACCTCACTACTAGGGCGGGATTCAACCCCACCGCAGCCCCCTGCTAGGGAGCGACCTCAGCCCCCACCCTGCCATTGGGGCCCCTGCTACGGGGCGCAGCTCTACCACCCGGCCGCTGCCGTGTTCCTGCGCAGAGGGGGTGTCACTTACCGGGGCTCGCGGCGACGATGAGGGGACGGACAGCTACGGGACAAGCGGCGGAGCGGGGCGCGCGCCGGTCGGCCGCTCACACACACACACGCACACACCCAGCCAAGGCACTGAAGGAGCTGCGCGAGCGCCGCGGCTACCGGCTGCGCCTCGATTGGCTGAGCCACCCGCAAGCAGCCAGACTAGGTGGGGGTGGAGGCCAGCAGGGGAAAGAGGCGCGCAGCGCTGGGAAAGGGCGGGGCCTAGAGGGGAAGGGAAGAGGCGCGCGGGGGGCGGGGACGGAGGAAACCACCTCCTCCCCTGCGCTGAGTCTCCGCCCCCGGCCCGGCCCGCCCCTGAACGGGTCGACGTTGTGACGTGGGGCGGGGCTAAAATGGGGACGCGGAGGGGGGCAAAATGGGGGCAAAGGTCAGAGCAGGGGTGGGACAATGGGGGCTGTTGAGGGGGATGGGGGGCCTGGGTGTTAGAAGGGAGGGGAGAGGTGGGGGAGTGCTGCTCTCTGGTGAAAAGGGACTAATGTGAGGCGAAGGCAGGGAGCAGGCTCCGTAGTGCTCAGGGAACAGCTGGGCTCATGCTAAGGCCCCTTACCGAATCACGTTGCTTTTCATATAGAAATCCTGCCATGGATATTTGCTTATTGTTGAACAGTACCTAAGTGGGAGGGTGACCATCATACTGTGTGAAATTCATGCGGGGGCCATCGTTCCTGCCTTTAAAGCCAAGATATAAGGAATAGAGGTTTCTTTATATTGAAGGAGAAAAAGTAATAGCCCTGAGAAAAGCTGGACGGGATCATTTTAGAGAATAGGAGAAGATGATAAGGAATAAAGCAGAAACACTGGATCTAACTGTCCCCTCACATAACTAGGTGTAACTTCCACTGAAGTCAATTTGAGTTGTACCTGCTCAGACCAGTGCTGAATTAGACCCTCATTACATAATGCTGAACCTGTTCGGTTACATTATTTAGTGTTAAAGCATTGACAGAATTATAACAAGGGGAGAAATAATAGCCTCTGACCCATACAATAAAGTACAAAAGATAAATACAGTCAGTCTCACTGAAGAACAATAGCTTCTTTGAAACAAACATTTGTCATTGTGGACACCTTGGAAAGAGTGAAAAACATGACATTGGAAAACACAGGTGCAAGATATGTAGAACCTTCCTGGTAATATAGCCCTGAGATCCAATATCATTTACCCAAAGAACTGCAAAAAAGAACAATTGGATTTTAAGAAAAGATGTAGATATCACACTTCCTGGAAAAAGACTTCATGTTCTTTATATAATTCCAAATAATAAAAGTACTACAAAAAAGTGGATCTACATTTTGTCACGAGATAAAGCAAAATACATTCAAGATATTTTCTCATTTAAAAGTACTGAAAGTTTAAGTTTGAACTCTGTTAACTTTTTCAGTTTGAATAAGGGTGATATTGTTTCATTAGAATTTTATAACAGCTGGATGGCCATTCTTTTTCCTGGTAAGGGAAGTAATTCTATCAGTCTGAATTCATTTATTAAGGCTTTTCTTCTGATTTTTTTTAAACCTTTGAAATATCAAATACATCAAGTCTGGTCCTGCTGGAGGACTTCCTAGATGTCTCAGATCATAATCAGCATGTTTTCCTACACCATCCATAAGTGGAAGGGAACAGGTTTTCAAGCATGTCGTTTGGAAGAAAATGCTGGGGTTATTTATCATCTCTGCCAAATAACTATGCTAGCTGTCCCAAATCAGAGAGCACCAGGCTAGAGTCACTGCTTTGTCACAACTCTGATCCTACTTCAGCTAGAACTGATAAACATGAAGTATTCCCCGAGAAGCTTTGCATCATATGGGGTCAGAGAAGTCATAGACGCAAACCTAACTTGACTTTCCCCACCTGACTAACATTACAGCCACTCCTGCTCTGGATTACTGGAGCTGCTGTCTCTCATAACTTGGCCATGTTGCATTTCCCAGTAACTCAATCAGGCATGAGACAGATGGTAAACTGCTTGAAGTGAAACCCTTTGTAGTAGAGCCTGGCCTGGGCCATCTCCCAGCATGACAGTGGGTGCTGCTGGAGGTGTTCCCCCTCAAAGATTGGCCATGAGTCATCTCCGTTAATAGTACAGTAACTCCCCACTTAACGTTGTTTCGATCTTACGTCCCTGCTCAATTACAGAACATGCTCCATTTAAAGTTGTGCAATGCTTCGCTATAACGTCGTTTGGCTGCCTGCTTTGTCCACAGCTGGCAGCCCCCCTATGAGGTCCCTTACGCCCCCCTCCTCGCAGCGCCTCCCGCCCGCCGGCAGACCCAGCAGATCAGCGCTTCCCCCCCTCCTCCTGCCTTTTGCCCGCAGCAATCAGCTGGCTTGCGGCATTCAGGAGGCAGGGGGGAGGAGCAAGGACTCGGCACGCAGGCTCCCCCTCCCTCCCCTGCCTCCCAAATGCCACAAGCCAGCTGATTGCCAAGGGCAGGAGGCAGGGGAGGGAGGGGGGAGCCTGCGTGCCGAGTCCTCCCTCCTCCCCCTTCCCTCCTCCCCCCTGAATGTCGCAAACCAGCTGATTGCCACGGGAAGGAGGGAAGGGGGAGGAGGGAGGATGCGGCGCACCTCCCCCCCCCCCCCCGCCCCCCGCCCCCGGCAATCTGCTGGCTTGCAGTGTTCAGGAGGCAGGGGAGCGAGGGGGAGCCTGCGCGCCGTGTCCTCGCTCTTCCCCCCCTCCCTCCTGCCTCCTGAATGCTGCACGCCAACTGATTGCCATGGGAACGAGGCAGGGGAGGGAGGGGAGACGAGCGAGACGCGGCGTGCGGAGTAAAGGGGAGGGAAGAAGAGGCGGGTTAAAGGTGGAGGCTTGGGGGAAGGGGTGGCGTGGGCGGGCCGAGGGTTGAGCCCCTCTGCCCCAGTGCTTGCAGAGTCGGGGAAGCTGCCGCTGCTGCTGTGCAACATGCTTCTCCTAGCCTACAGCACCTTCAGCCTCCTTGCCTGCCTCATTGTCTCCAGTGCCAGTGGAGTAAGGCAGGGGCACCTCCCAACTATAGTACTGTACTGTATGGCAAAAAACATTTCCCTGGAACCTAACCCCCCATTTACATTCATTCTTATGGGGAAATTGGATTCGCTTAACATCATTTCACTTAAAGTTGCATTTTTCAGGAACATAACGACAACGTTAAGTGAAGAGTTACTGTATGCTGTGATGCTGCCTTTCATATCTGGGATATGATCCACGTCCTGGCACACAGTATGGCCTTAAGGAGTCCTGTGCTGCTAGAGGTGCCGTTCATTTCCCAATGAAGACATTTCAGATTTCTTTTCTATAGCTGCCATATTTCTCACTCCATCCCTTCCTTCCTCCGTCGCTCACTCTCCCCCACCCTCACTCACTCATTTTCACCAGGCTGGCGCAGGGGTTGGGGTGCCGGAGAGGGTGAGGGCTCTGGCCGGGGGTGTGCGCTTTGGGGTGGGGCCGGGGATGAGGGGTTCAGAGTGTGTGAGGGGGCTCAAGGCTGGGGCAGGGGTATGGGAGGGAGTATGGGCTCTGGGCTGGGGCCAGGGATGAGGGGTTTGGGGTGCAGGAGGGGGCTCCAGGTTGGGGCAATGGGGTGGGGCACAGGAGGGAGTTCGAGGTGTAGGATCCAGGCGGCGCTTACCTCAGGCAGCTCCTGGAAGCGGCCGGCATGTACCTCTGGCTCCTAGGCTCAGGGGCTGCCCCGTCTGCAGATGCTGCCCCCGCAGCTCCCATTGGCTGCGGTTCCCGGGAGCCAATGGGAGTTGTGGAGCCAGTGCTTGGGGTGGTGCCTGCGCCATGTACAGGGGCAGCGCGTGGAGCCCTCCTGGCTGCCCCTGCGCCTAGGAGCTGGAGAGACATGACGGCCACTTCCGGGAGCTGCATGGAGCCAGCCACTGTGGCCAACTGGACTTTTAGCGGACCAGTCAGGACCCAGAAAACCAGACACCTGGCAACCCTATGTACAGTATGGCTTCCCTCCTCTAAATTTTCTTACACTGTTTCTGTATCTGAAAGACCTCCATTATATTTACTTGTGTCTACTCTGGACAAATTAGCATTTAGGCCATGTCCACACTAGTAAGCGTACAGAGGCACAGGTGTACCGATGCAGCTGTGCTGCTGTAAGATCGCTCGTGTAGCCGCTCTATGTCGGCGGGAGAGAGCTCTCTCGTCGACATAATAAAACCACCTCCACATGTGGCAGTCCACACCAGCACTTCTGTCTGTGAAACTTACGTCGCACACGGGGTGTGTTTTTTCAGACCCCTTAGTGACATAAGTTATACCAACAAACGTGGTCGTGTAGACATGGCCTTAGACACTGGTAAAAACTGTCAGCATGTATCTTATCTGGAAATCTGAACATTCCAGATAGGACCCACATAAAGTTAGCCATTGATGTGTTTCCTTGAAATAACCTCATTGCTCAATTTTTCAGAAGTCAAGCAGTTTAGCATGAACAAACGCTCCACTTTGAGTAACCTGAGACTGAATTACATGAGACTTTATGGCATCTAGAGAATTACATTGTTAGGTTCAATGTCAGTTTTATGAACAGATGTTTTTCCAGTTTGCTAGCTGGCCAAAATAGCAGTGTGATTTCCTTATAAACAGAACTAAGAGCATTTTTTTTCCCTTCAAATTTCTTTCTCTTCTATGTTGCAACAGAGGATTCTAGTTCATAGTTAGGATGTTACCATTGGTAACTCTGTGTCCCATAGCAACTTTCCCACCAAGAATATGTTGGGGAAATGTATTGGTAATAACTGAACTGGAACACTTGTTCAAGAATGTGGGACAAAGGCATTGAAATTCCTCTGTTTAAATCGTTCTGTATAGGTTGCTAGGCTACTTGTGTCAATGCCTTTTCATATACATATACAAAATGGCCACGCATGTCTTTGTGTACGGTGATGGGGCAGAACCGTGACATCAGCAAAATACGAAACACAAGATTTTACGTCAGAAGGACAAAATTTGATTTATTCACAAAACAGCAAACAGTGTGAAAAATTGACTTATATCAGCCAAGATCTACACATACCAGAAACAAAGGCCAGAGGCTTG